GGGCTGCTTGCCAGTTCAAGTCTCTGTGCTCCTTTTGTAGGTCTTTGCGGAAAATTCACTTCCACATGGCATGGCACCTGTCACCAGGTAATAAATCCATGGGCAATATAATGTCTCTTGCCTTTACTATTTCCTGTATCTTGCAGTGGTTCACCAGGGTCACTAAGGCCATGATGTGCAGTTTATATTTGTCTCAGAAGCATTTCAGGATCACATAAGACCATGGGAACACTCTGGCCCATGGGCTTCCATTGGTAGTCATGTACACCTGCCACTGTTGCAGCAGCTGCTCTGAAAGATACTTTACAAAGCGGCTTATTTTGGATTCTGCCATTGTTGCCAGTTTGCAAACCTGGCTCATGTACTTGGCTCAGAGGAACAGTAGGATGTCTGGCATTCCTCTGCCTTTAGATCGTTTTGCTTTATACAGTTTGGTCCTTGCCGCTTTCTCCCATGTGGACTTCCAAAAGAACATGGCTCTTTGGATTCTGTGGATGACTTGATCCAAGGGAGGGAAGACAAGGGGGGTGTATAGAAATATTGACAGTAGCTCCACCTTCATCAGGCTACATGCCCCTGACAGGCAGAACAATTGCTGTAGTCCCAGGCTCTGTTTGGTCTTGGCCTCCGTCTTTTTCCATTCTGTCTGTCCTGTCAGCTTTGGGTCAAACTCCACCTCGAGGATCTTTAAGCATTCATAGGGGATGGAGACCCCCAGAGCCAACAGGTCGCCAAGTTCACCCAGGACTAGGCAGGTGCTTTTGCTCAAGTTGAGCTGGCCCCTACTGCCGCTTTGTATACCTGATTATGTTGTGGCACTCTTTCCACTGAACCCTTGTCCCTGCATATGCTGTTAAGGTCATCCATGTAAGTGAGGACTTTTGTCTCTTCCCCATTACTTCCGGGGATCTTCATGCCACAGATCCTGAGATCCTGCCTGAGCTGCTGTGCTAGTGGTTCCATTGCACAGATAAACAGGACTGGGAAAAGTGGGCAACCCTGCCTGACACCTGACTCCACTGCAGTCGAGGCTGTCAGGGATACATTCAACAGTACCCTGCTGCTCATGTTGATGTACAGTGCCTTTCATCCAGGTAACAAAGGTTGCAGGAACTACCATCTTTTTCAGTGTCTCCAGGAGGAAGTGATGGGATACTCAGTTGTAGGCCTTCTCCAAGTCGAGGGTCAACACAGCAACCATTGGTACTATTGTGCATCTCACAGCTGCATCAAGGTTTCATGGATTTGTCACCCCGGCACCCCACACTCCTGGTCCTCATGATCACTACTCCTATAACAGACCTAAAGCACTTGGGTCAAGACTTCGGCTATTAGTTTGTAGTCAAGGTTCAGGAATGTTATTAGATGCCAGCTTCTCAGGTCCTGCCACTCCCCCTTCTTGTAAAGAAAGGTTATGAGGCCCTCCTCTATCCACGTTCCCAGGTGGTCCTCCTGCAGGTGCTGTCTATAGACTTCCAGCAGGTACAGGCCCACCTGGTCCCAGAAAGCAACATAGAACTCCTTGGACCAGCTGTCTGCTTCAGGATTCTTACCATTCTGGAAACTGCAGAGCATTGTGTTGATTTCCTCCAGCATCCACTCTTCCACCAGCTTCTGTCCCTTGTCCTCCCAAAGGACCTGTGTGAGTTTCTGTCAACAGTCCTGCATTGTCCCCTGGGTCCTCTGTTCATGCCATATAGAGATCCTGGTAGAACACCACCACCATCTCCACCATCCCTTCATTCGAGCGCTGCTCCACCCCCGCTCCTTCTACCAGGCTGGTCATCACTTTCTTCTTGGTTTCCTTTATCTTGCTAAAATAAGCAGACCACTCCTCCCCCATCTCTACCTAGGGGGCCCAGGCCAGGAAGATCTTCCTGGCCTGTGTGGTGGGCCAGTAGGGGGTGCTCCTGTGTTGAGCCACCCACCTCAGTGCGCCCGACCACCTTCCAGACTCCGAGTGCCTCCCTGGGGGTGCCTCACGTCTGGCTGACCCCCTTCCTGGAGCACACCCACTAGCATGGGGGTAAAAACTGCCACCACCCAGGGCTGAACTTGATTCTGGCTCTGCATCCCCTGGGTAACACAGGCCTACTAGCCCTTGAGGGTACTTGACTCACTTCAAGCACTTGGGGGTGGTTCCCTCAGTCAGAAGCACAAGTAGTAGTCTCCCTTAGTCAGCCAAACTAGGGGGACCTGAAGGCATAATCTAGACCCACTCCCAATAAGTCTCCCACACTAGGTACAAAGGAGAACTGTATTGGTTACAAGGGGTAGGGTTGGAATAGGGTACAGGGTAGAGCAATATCAGAGAAATCCCATAGAGCAAACTGGCATAGCTGGGTAGCCTTTGATCACGCATCTGAGTTACTGCAAGCTATATATCAAGTTAGATCTCAGGTAGCTTACTCACAAGTATCATCCAGAAGCAGGTGGAGATTCCCTCTGGAGGCAAGCAGTTCCTTGATCATGAGTTTTGAGAGAGAAAGTAAGTTTCAGATGGTCCAGCTCTTCTCTCTCTCTGAATCTTCCTCATGGCTGCTGCCCCCTTCCTCCTGGGCAGTCCTTAACTTATATAGCCCTTATGACCTCATTTACCTGGTCCAGTGTAGGCCAGCACCCATTGGCTGCCAGCCAACCTATTTGAAATGCATCACTAGTTGCTGGGCAGACTGGCAGTTCCTAGCTCCCCAGAGAGCCCAAGCCCCTTACCCAGGTATGTGATGCCGGTCATGTAGGCAGAGAGAGCAGGTTTCCCCCCTCCCTCAGGAATATATCCAGCTCAGGTTACCTAAAGAGATAGGGTAAGGTGTGTACCCTCTGCAGGACGCCTCTTAACCAAATTGTCACAGAGCAGAGTTTTTGGGGAGTAACAGAGGTGGCCTTCTGCCAGAGCCTATTCCTTGGACTAGGCCCTGATCTAAGTCTTCACCTCCCACATGGACTCCCTCACGTCCCAACCCCAAGCCACCTGTTTGTGCAAGCTCTTCAACTTGTGGTTTAGGCATTCATGTTGCCTTCTCTGGATCTAGGCGTCCTCCTTCCATCCTTCCAGAAGAAATCCCTCATTCTCTCTTTCACACTTGCCTACCACTCTGCGTGGTTCGGGTATCCAGGTCATAGGGTTTTCCATCCTGCGTAGTGCTGTCTGAACTCGCACTATATCTTCTTGTCATCCAGAAGGGTCACATTCAGTTTCTACACACCCTTGACCACAAGGATAGGTTGGTGCAAGCCAAGTGAATGAGACATATGGTATTGTCCATTGAGTGCAATCCTCCTCAGTTCTGACTGTTTTCCAAGTTGTAGTGAGCCACTGCATCGCATACATTTCAACTTCCTCTTCATTCCCACAGCCGAGCTGTGCCTTTCTTTCCCATCTCCAGTGATTCCTGTTTCTACACCAGCATGAAGTGTCTGGCAAACATCATCAGATGGGGCCCCAAATAGTTTACTAAGAATCCCTCTGTTGCCCCCTCTCTCAGCCTGACGTATATGATTAGTGCAGGCTGGAGCTGGGGTGGTGCCAGGCTTTTCCTGGCGGGGGGCTGGGTTGGGCTGGGCTTGTGGCAGGGGGCAACAGCATTGGGAGTTGGGCTACAGGGGCAACTGCAGCCACCCAAAAATTCTGCGTAGCCTCCCCATCTCCTTTCCCAGCACTGCTGCCACCCACCCCAAGTGCAGCCCTGACCCAATTATCCCACCAAGAAAAGGCCAGCACTGCCCTAGTCCTAGCCTGCAGTGGCAGCCTGCCCTCACCCTCCTGCAGATCGCTGGCACATGGCCCCCATGCCCTCCCCATGCACATGCAGCAGTGGGAGCCGCCACCCCCTCCCTGCACCAGGCACCCTGTGGGCGAGCCAGCTGTACAGGGCCTGCCGCTTCCCCAGCCCCAGCTCCACTCCTTCCCTCACTGCCGTGGGGGTGGGGGCAGATCAAGGCCTCAGCGGTAAGCCAGAGAGCGGGACACAGGCAGGAGCAAGGTCTGGGGTGAGCGGGGCCCCAGCCGGGCCAGATGGTGGGACAAGCAGAGGCCTGGAGCCCCACTCACCCCAGCCCCTGCACCTGCACCTACCTGTGCCCCACTCCCTCCTTCACTACTAGGGCCTCTAACTGCCCTCCACCCCTTCTCCCACAGACTTACATGCGGGGTGGGGTGCCCCCAAATAATTTTTTCACCCTCCACCTTGATCTCCCCACACCCCCTCTTTTCTCCCCACAGACTTGCTAGGGGCGGGGGCACGGTAGAATCCTGGGTTGCTTTTTAATTCAAAAAGTGATCTCCTGCTTAAAAAGGTTGGAAACCATTACTCTAAAGTATCTACTCTTGCCATTGTTAGAGACAAGGTACTGGTGTCAATGGACCATTCGTCTGACCTAGTACGGCACTTATGTTTTTACGTTACCTCTGTTCTGCCAACTGTCAACCTGAGAAAAAAACATAACTAATGGGTCCTGTTTATGGTCATAATATTTGGTCCAATTGCCAGAGGTGACAGCTTAATATTATATAAACATGGCACAGGCCAAGTTTTTGATGTCACTGCCATACTAAACTAAAATTGTATACAATAACCAAAGACAACATGCAAATTGATAGCAGTAACATGCCAGAGTGTTTAGTTTACATACTGTTATTATAAGCATGGGCTTAATGTACAAAGTGGCATTTCACTTATAAAATTCAATGCTGAGAAAAATATCAGGTTTTTCAAAGAAAGGCAGAGCTAGAGAAACAGCAGTAGGTCAAAGTCGCCCTTTATTTTAGGTGTATAAATAAACATGACCTGTAAGCTGGTCCTCAGTGAAGTTCACCCAGCTTCAAATTTCACTATGTAGAAATGCAGTGCAAATTTTGTCTACTCTTTATGATCTGATTAAGAAAATGAGTAAAACCTACAGAGAATGTGTAGAACACTGTAACTAAGTTCTGTGATTTTTTTCAAGTCTTAGTATAAAATCACATTCATTGTTCATCTCATTGTGTTTCCATTTTGCAGCCTACGTTTCCAGTAGGTCCAACAATAGGAACGAACACAGCTATTAGTTTTGCTCCTTATATAACACCAGTAACACCTGGAGTTGGGTTAGTTCCTACTGAAATCCTACCCACGCCACCTGTAATTGTTCCTGGAAGTCCACCTGTCTCAGTCCCTGGTTCAACAGCTACTCAGAAACTCCTCAGGACTGATAAACTGGAGGTACTACAAACAGTGTTGTGATTGGAAATGCAATTCTCTGCTATTTTTATATGTAAGAGCATTGAAAAAGATTAATTGCTTTTAGAACTGTTTTCTGCCAAAAACCTAAACTGCTGTTATTACAAATGCAGGTTATGAACTTGCATTTAGTGGAAATGGTACTATCATGTTTGTGTATTTTAAATAAAATTAAGTCAACATGTTATAAAATTGACTATTCAGACTTAATTTGTCTAGTAAACATTGAAAGTAACACATATTTGTTAATTTTTTAAAATGCCTCTTAATCTTTTTGAATTTCTTTACAGAGAAATTAACAGGCACATAAGATTTATACCCATAATATCATGTGCACTACTTTACAAAGTTTTAATCTGATAAGGAAATATCTGTAGGTTCTAAAGGCCAATGTGTCTCTAGTATTAACTCAGCCTTAAGAAATTGCACTCTGTAAATTTCTAAAATGGAAATTGTGTAGTTGACCACAAATGGGCAAACTCCACACATATGCATTGAACCCAGGAAGGCTCTACATGTACTTGTGGCTATTTCCATGTTCAGCCAGTTTAGAGCACTGGGGTCTTAGAAGTCTACAATCTGTATGTCAGGTTCAGATAACTAGTAATATGGCCCCAGCAGGAAGGTACTTCTCTGAAAATGGGGACTTAAATATTCAGGTTAAAAGAAATCAGATCTGTCTCAGTGATTTGATTTTTGGTTTTGGTTTTTAAAGAACAGAAGCGTTAGTTTTGTTTTGTGGTCCTGCAGAACGCAGTGAGATTGATCCCAAATCTTCTCTATGGTATATAAGAGCAGGGCTTGACAACATGTTCCAGTGGCGGGCCAGAATGACTCAGGTCAGATCAAAGGCTGGCTGGTTGAAGCAGCTGCTGCCACCCCTACCTCCACCCCCATTTCTCACTTGTAGTGTACATACATTCAAATAATCTGTGAGGATTATCTCAGGTTGATTCTCCTAGTAGCAGAGCTTACCCAGAGCTGTGTGTGGCTCTGAGAATGGAGAATATTTGAGGCTCTGAGAATGGAGAGCTTGTAGTGCTGACACTGTGCAGCCAGGGTGGGGGGGTGTTCACACATCTCAGCATGCAATGCTAGCTCCCTTAGTCTGCCAGACAACAGATGGCAGCAGTGAGTAAGGCAGCCCTGACAGGCTGACCCAGACTACCCATGGTCAGCCTGTTTATTCCCAGGCTATTTTTCTTCTGCAGTGGTAATTTTTTGAGAAAAATCCTGAACACCTATACATACACTCATGATTTCTACTGGGAGAGCAATGACTCTCCTAGGAAAAACAGAATGTCTGTATGAGGTCACTGTCACCAAACTGCCTGGCTGCAGCGCAACACAGTACGTTGGGGGCAAAGCCTTCCACTGCCCTAAGTTGCCATTCTCTCTATTAGAGGAACACTTCTTCTGTCAATACAATCGGACTGATGCAAGCAAGACCAGAATGGAACCAGATATTTTGCACTTCTTAATTGGCTTCTCTGGAGCAAATAATTAACAACACTACTCCCAGAGGTTTAATGTTGGGAAACAAGCAGAGAGGTTTGGGGATGACTTGGTTCTTTTTGCATTCAATTTATATTATGAGGTGACACAGCTGTAATTTCAATATAAATAAAAGCAAGCAAACATTTTAAAAACATAAGCTAAAAACTGGTTAGGTCCCACCACCCCAGGAATTTTAAATGGTTACAAACAGAATGTGAAAAACAGAGTGGAAATCACAGTAAAATAGAGTCATATGGGTTTTTTTTTATATATATATATATATATATATATATATATAAGCAACAGTTATCAGGCATCCACTATCAGTAATAAGTATTGTTTTGCACATAGGTATGCAGGGAGTTCCAGCGAGGAAACTGTGCGCGCGGAGAGACTGATTGCCGCTTTGCACATCCTGCAGACAGCACAATGATTGACACAAATGACAACACTGTAACCGTTTGTATGGATTATATAAAAGGTCGTTGCATGAGGGAGAAATGCAAATATTTTCACCCTCCTGCACATTTGCAGGCCAAAATCAAAGCTGCTCAACACCAAGCCAACCAGGCTGCAGTGGCAGCTCAAGCAGCTGCTGCAGCTGCTACAGTGATGGTAAGTGCTAGAATATATGGCTGATTTTTTCATAAACTTCTTAATTGTGGTTTGACGTCAAGCAGTAGCATTTTTTAGGAGGCTGTTATATTTTACATTCTTCATAAAAGTTGAGAAATTATAAAATTATTACTATTGCTTTAGGGAAATGAAAAAATTACCTTTTGTTTTTCCCTCAATAATTTCAGAACAATATTTATGTCCTTTGAGTACAGTGAAGCAGTTAGACAGTTTCTGCTGCCTTTGCTCTCTCTCTCTCAATTATATGCTAAATTTGCTTCCTAACATTTCTTGATGAAACATAAAACTGGTGAAATTGAAATGGTCCACGGAAAATATGTAAACCTGTTCTGTGTTAGCTCCTTGCTGGCAGAAACACAATGTGAAAATTAGGAAATGAGAATTAAAGAAAAAATGATTTTGTGCCTAAAGTGTAGGCCATAGATAAGAGACCTGGGCTTTTTTTTTTTTCAGTTTCCCCACTGACTTACTCTAGTGTCCTGGGCACTGTGCCTCAGTTTCTCCATTAGTAAAATGAGAATAGTGAGATTTCAGTCATTAGTTTTTTCAGACATTGAGAGACTATTCTGTGAATGCTATGATAAAACCTATATAGAAAATCACATCAAGTAAGGTTTTTTAAAAAAAGTTGTTTTCAGGGGCTTCAGGCATCTTTGTTTTAAAATATGGCTGACACTTGCTAGCAAAAATTCCACAGAAGTGAATAAATAAGGCTTGCAGGATTTTATTCTGGGGACAGAAGTACAGTCAGTACAGATCAAAGAAGCATTGTCCTAACTCCTGGCACTGAAAGAATAATGACACAGATGTGACTTGTGGATAGCGCATACAACAGTTATAGACAATACAGTTACTCTGAGAATAAGAAGCTTACCAAAAACAAGTACAGTACAGTATATAACGATCATAGGCTATTGTATCTCAGAAATAAATAGAGACCAGACGTTCCAGGGACAAAGAGTGAGTTTCTTTCAAATATGACTACTGAAAGAATTAAGACTTCCAAACATAAGAAAACAGCAGAAGCCAATTTCCTTCAAATTAGTATTTTCTCTTGTCATATGAAAATTTTAGTTAAACCTAGAGATCTACCTGGAATTAAAAAGGCATGAGATTTTTGCAGTAGCACTTCTGCAACATGCAAAATTCATCTTGCATTTAGAAAAAGTAATAAGATAAGCAAAAGAACATTTTTTCCTGAATCTAAGGAATCATAGGATACGTTTTCTGCAATTCAGATAAGCCATATTAGAGATTTTGAGTTCCTAAGATTCAGGACTACGTGGAGAATCTTTAGAAACACAGGACTGAATTACTAGCATTGCACTACCATGGGAGAAGACAGAGGCCATGTAACTGAGAGGTTGTGTAGATCCCTTCCACAGAAAATTATATTCATGAGCTTTAATCGGATATTTAGATTCCCCAGAGTAACAGTACAAGCAAAAAAAAAAAGCATTCTTCATTACAGTCATTTTTATTTAATACAAATCTAGAACAAAGGAACCCATCAGGTAAAATAAGTGGGATCATATCTCCACTGACATAAATAATATAGGGAATGACAAAGAAAAGCAATAGCTAATGCATTCTAAATAAGAGCCCCAAAATATTCAAGGGAAATTGTTCAGAAGTAGCCACTGGAAATCTCTGGTTGTTCTTTGTAAAAGACAAACAAAGATCTTTAACCAAACACATTCTGCTTCCAGACTGATTCTCAACTTGAAATTATGACTTGAGAAGAGGAAATTGTGACATATTGTAGTGGTTGGGCAGGGATACAGGTCAAAGCCCCCCTCCACACATGCAGTTAAAGACATGATGGGATCTAATGCACGATCCACACAGTTCCACTTCCTGCCACACATGAATGGCAGGAGATGTGATTGTGTGATCGCACATTAGATCCCATGACATCCTATTGCATATATCAGCAAGAAGCAGGCTTATATGTCTGAGAGCTGCCTCTGCTGACAGAGCTCCCACCCACAGGGACAACGTGCAGCTAGTACCATCACGCAGCTGACAGGACTCTCAATCCTGGCTGTGCCCCACCTGCAGATGGGACTGAAAGTCCCTGCAGCTGACAGGTCTTTTCATCCCAGCTGCACCGCACGTAGCTGGCACCAAGAGTCCTCATACTTGATGGGCCTCTTGGCCCCAGCTGCATATTTGGTACAGCCGGAGTCCCGTCAGCTGCAGGACTTTCAGTCCCAGCAGCCATGGAGGGAGCACTGCTGCAATCTCCCACCCCCAGGGATGCATAGGGTGCCCTTCATCTGGGAGACCACAGCAGCTGCAGTCTTCTAGCTGTGGGGTCCATGGAGCAATAGTTGGGAGATCGCAGCAGCCTCAATCTCCCAGCCACTGCCTGGAGCACCCTGCTGCTGAGGGATCTCAGTGGCTGCAGTCTCCCAGCCCCCGGTGTGTGATGAGCACCCCAGCAGCTGGAAGTTCACAACAGCTGTGCTCTCCCAGCTGCAGACTGCCTACACATGCAAATCAAAGCCAGATAGAAACCAGCTATACAGTTATTACACATTTTCAAGCAATAACTTTATAGATGTTTGAACCTTTTTAAGGTGCCATAGTTCATAGATTTTAGAGCTGGAAGGGACCTTGGAAGTTCATCGAGTCCAGCTCCCTGCCCAAAGGGCAGGAAGTCAGCAGGGGTCATAGGATCCCAGCAAGATAGACATCCAAAGTAGGTGCTTGAACCACCTCCGGTGACAATCTATTCCAAACCTTGGGGGCTCGGACAGTAAAGAAGTTCTTCGTTATGTCCAGCCTGAAACGGTCACGGAGGTGTTTGTGACCATTCAATCTTGCCGTCCTTTGGGGCAGTCTGGTGAACAGATGTTCCCCCAGATCCTGATGAGCACCCCTGATAAACTTATAGGTGTCCACCAGCTCACCCCTGAGCCTGCACTTTTCCAGGCTCAAGAGTCCCACAGCTCTGAGCCTCTTATTGTAAGGTCTGTTTTCCTGACCTCTGATCATGCATGTGGCTGTCCTCTGGACTCTCTCAAGCTTCTCCACGTCTAAATTTATTGCACAATTAAGGTAACTGCATAATAGATACAAAATATAGAGGGGTCCAAAGAATCTCAGGTTCTTGAGGCTTAGATCACTCAAGGCCTCCTATTATTACTAAAGGAATGGATTATTTTGCAAACTTCACTTTTCATAAATGTTCAAATACAATGTACTCTTTTTTTCTTTTGCTGTAGAACGTGCCTGAAGTACATTTTCAGCAGTGTTGGTCCTTTTCTAGCTTCTCAAAGCTCTTATCAACCAGCCCTCAGGCACATTTTGCAGTAACTTAAAAACTGCAGTTCCTTAATTATACTGTGTGGATCACTGATGGTTTATGCAGTAACTTCATTTCCTTGTCTTCTCATTTCCGTGTCCCCAGTTGTCATAGTTGCCAGAAGGAAGCAACCATAATTGTGACAGGAGGAAAGTGATCTAGTGAATTCCATCTACTGAGATGTAGTTCACATTATTTTAGGACATGGGTTGGCATCCTCCAACCTCCAGACAAAATCTGTCCCTCAGAGCCATTTTAATCCAGTCCATAGAGACGGAAGGCTTCACTGATGTTTTGGTGGAGGCTGGAGGGGAGACTTAAGCAGTGTTTCAGCAGTGGGGTGGTTTCTCTGGGCAGCAGGGAGCAGCTATGACAGCAGCACTGCACAGGGGACTTCTAGCTGCAGCTGGAGTGGCACAGGCCTGGTTGGAAGCAACTCAGGCCCAAAGCTAAGCTCCATCAAAGCAACCCTGTGCTCCAAAAATTTTGGAAAACCTCTGTGTAAGGACATTGCTTGTGGCCTCTCAAAAAAACAAACTAAAAACCTTACATTTATAAGCTTGTGTAAACAGAGAAGTGTTGACCAAAATCCATGCCTCAAGAACAAGGAAGGAGATCCCCCCAGGGTAAATGTATGTTACTGTGCAGTAGCACGTAGGAGCTGGAAAAATCCCATGGTTTGACCGAGGAAAATTTCTTTGGCACAGGCAGTGGATAGGGCATTAGTGTTTGGTAGGTAATCACTGACAGGCCTAGTGAAAGAAAGGCATTTGATAGGTTAAAATATTGAAAGGAAAATTGCTTGCTGAACAGTGCTCTAAAGAGAGCTTTGAGAGTTGAGGAGAAATTGAAAAGACATATGAAGATAGGGAGGAAGGGTAGATCCAAACTGAATTCTCAGGAAAGTTGGGGGAGGTGGCTTTAAAGAAGCAAGAGCTGACTCCTAGAAAAAGAGATAGTGTTAATACAGGGAGCCTTGAAATTGAGGAGCAGGAAGTGGAAGGAAGGGAAGGACTAACAAAGATTAGAAAACAGGATTTTACAATGGAACAAGCAAATTGAGGCCTGTGTAGAACAGACGTGTGTCTGAGTTGAGAGGGAGGGAAGAGGGCAAAAGGTGAAGATACGGAAGTCATAAAGATAGTTGATGACCCTGTGAAAGTGGGTGAGAGCTGTATCTGGATGATGATAGTAATGGGGAGAGTACCTTCAGCTCTCACACTCAGATGGAAATTTGGGGCCTTATCACTTCAGAGAATTGAATCCAGCCTTTATGCTTCACATTTGAATATATTTTCCTCCATAATGGTCTCGGGGTAATTTTACAAAGGTGCATGGGCACTGTTAGACATTTTACAGAGGGGAGAGTTGAGAGAGCGATCAGCATTGTTGGACATATTGAGGTTGATGGAAAAAGACAGACATCATGTAGGCAGGTCATGAATGACCTTAGAAAGAACAGATACCACAGAGCAGAGGAATGAGCTAAAGGAGAAAATAAGTCAGTAGGAAGTCTTAATGCATTTGCAGGCAAAAGGGAGAAAGCAGCATATGAGGTGATAATTGGAAAAACAGAAAATGAAATTGGGAAAGGTATTTTTAAGAAGCAATAGCTATCTTGCAAATTATTCATGTTGTCATTGACCAGTTCTGTGAAGGTACTTTGTTTTAAGCATGGTGCATCAGTGGTTCTCAACTAGAGTGTGGCAGCACCCTTGGGTACCACAAGGCCCCCACAGGGGTGCCACGGCAGCAGCAGCCAAGTAAAACTGCCTCACACACTACTTCTACATTAGGTCTCTCTGATCAGCCTAAAGCAGACAGAAAAGCTGCCTTGTATTGTGTAGCCCTTACTGGTCTAAAATCCCATATATTCCTCCCAGAAATAGAGGCATGGGTGAAACTGTCCTGCCCACGTCTGTTTCTCAGAGCAGCGTGGTGGAGATGGACCAGGAAGGGCAACATAGTAGGAGTCAGCTCTACTGTCTCCGTTAGGTCGATTAGAGAGCCCTAATGCAGAAGAACACGCATGTGGTATAGCCTTTCTTGGGCTGGTAGTACTGCAAGCCTGTGGGGTAGTTTCATCTGGAGGTAGCAGAACCTGGTTGAGAAGCACTAAGGTAAACTGAGGCAGTGCCAACAGTGGTTCTCAGCCAGGAGGACTGCCACATTCAAAATAATTGTGGTGGGTGCCATGACCTGGGTAAGGTTGAGAACCACTGTAGTACTTGCTCAATACTTTGTCCTCCTTTTTCATTTTTATTGGATGCAGGGAATGTCCAAGATGGAGACAAGGTGAATATTAAGTTCTCTTGTAGACATTGGGAAGCTGACTATCATCATGAGTGCAAAAATGGATTTGATTTTATGAGCAAACCTTCCTCTCCATATGTTTTCTTGAAGCCTAATTTAAATCACAAAACATTTAATTTAAAGTTAAGCTAAATTTTCTGTCAGAATAGTATCAAATTGGCCCTTGTTTAATTTTATGCAAATGCAGTTATTTAAATATTACTTATTTTGCTAAAGTAAATTAAGTTATATTTAAATATTTGAAGAATTACTGCCATGATTCCTGTTCTAATTACCGGCTGTGCTCCCTTATTGACAAGTACTATTTTATATCATTACCTAGTTTTGAAGTTAGTATTAAAATTGATCAGAAAACTTAGTGTTCCTTTAAAAAGGGCTTTTTCTTAATGTAATGTGGTAAGTTAAAAGCAGATGTCTGCTGTATGGTTCCAGCTGCAGTAAAATACAAGGAATTGATGATAAGTTAGTGATTAGACTTAACATTCATTAACCCTGTATTTGAAAAAGAAAAACACTTTGTATTTGATCCCAAAGTCTATTGAAATGTACATTTTAATAATTAAGACATAAATCCTGCAAATGCTTACACATGAGTAGCCCTATTGAAGTATTAAATTCTCACTATTGCTTTGTATTTAAAATTTTAGTATTGAAAAAATATTTATGCTTTTTTAATCTGATGTAACTAACTTATCAGAAATCCTTGTAAAAAATCCTTAAAACTTATGCATTTCTGTGAAGTTATAAAATGCTTAATAGTGTCTGCAAGCTGCTATTTTACTTAACTTTCCTGAATTTCAAACATCTATATTTTACTCTCTTATATGCTTTTAACTAAGGTATAGTAGATGCATTTTTGCTTCAGTACTAATTCAAGGTGTAATATTCATTTCTTTAGAAAACATTTTTGTTGTTGTGCATGCCTAGTGTTTTGTATGTTGTATATTGCATTCAGAATATTTTTTTCCTTCTCACCTATCCACAATGCAATGCCGTTCCCATGATGCACCTCTGCTTGCTGTTTACCTGTATGTTAATTCGCTTGACTCCCATTGGCCCACTGCCATCATGTGCTCGCTGCCTGTTATTAAAAGACTCAGTCGACTGCCAAAGCAATGAAGCGACCTCTCGAAGCAACTGTAGACCTGGTACTTTGACCTTTCACCTTTTGCTTTGCATGTAGCTTTTCAGAGAAGCAACTAATGAAATTTTTATTGCTTTTTTTAAAACATCAATTGAAAAATATATTATTAATTTACAGAAAATTCAGTACTGTATTTATCCATCTCATTCCATACATAATAAATGCAAACAATTTAGTTTTTTCCTAACATGGTTTCATTTAAAAATCATGAAGTTGAAATGAGATAAAACTGCTTTTGTAATAAAAATGCGTAACATAATTCATTATTGCATTTAATAATTGGAAAATTATTTAGCTAAAAGAAATACTTGGCAATGAAACACAAGTGGTTTTTTCTCCCTAGAATTTTTTAAACCCTGTTTAAAGGAAATGCCATTTTTGTTGCTTTAAAGGCCTTTCTTTTCAGTAGTTGTGATGCTACAGTTTTAGGTTAATAGTACCATGCTTTTGCTATCAATAACAAAATACCACTCATTTTACATTGCAATGCTTTGGGTTAAGGTGCATGGCAAGGCATCTGTAACTGCTTTTTTAAAAAGTATATTACATAATTTTATTGAATAGTACATGAACAAAAGATATGTCTTTAAAATACTTCAAATTAAATTGAATTCTTTATTTACAGGCCTTTCCTCCCGGTGTTCTTCATCCATTACCAAAGAGACAAGCACTTGAAAAAAACAATGGTGCCAGTGCCGTTTTTAATCCCAGTGTCTTGCACTATCAACAGGCGCTTGCCAATGCACAGTTGCAGCAACACGCAGCATTTATTCCAACAGGTATGTTGCATTTACACTAAAAAAGAGTCTTCTTTTGATGTTCTCCACATAACACAGTTTCTATCACTTGTACACACTATTTTATCACACATAGTATACTTTAATGTGTCCTCTGCTCCTTATCCCACTCAGGATACAGCGTTCACAGATATTGACAGTAAATTATGTACAGAATATTAGGATTCACAAGGTAATTTTACAATGACACTAAATTAGTATTTTTCTTATATTCAATTGTTGTCCCTATTTTATATGTACAGCATAGCACTTCTCAGTATTAAATCAGTTGCATTTTAGCTCCATCAACCAGAGCTGTGCTGCAGTGGGCAGGGAGGAGGAACATCATAAAAGCCATGGAATGGAGGCATAATTTCAGAAATGCTTCAGGAACAACACTAAGATCCCCTGCTCTCTGGGCATATCTTGTATTTCCACTTTTACTGCATACACCACTTTCCCCCTCCTAAACTAGAATGGTAAACTTCTGCATGGGAGCATGCTGGGATTATAATGCACCTTATATCTGCATTGAACAATTCTGTAATGAGGTTTTTTTTTTCCATTTTCTTTGTCACTTAATTTTGTGACCCAAAACTCCCCCATATTTTGTGACTAATACTTGCTGCTGGAATTCTTGTAAGTGTTTCAGCTGTAGTGGAATAGTAGCAGTATAACAACTACTGTTGTTCAAAACTCAAGAAAACTAGACCATCCATCCATAGTGCACCATGCATAGCATCCTGAACTCAAACAGGTGGTGTCGATACCTTTTTACCCCTTTTAAAGAAGAGGGAATATGCAACTTTATTGTAAGCCTTGGGATAAATTGAACCAATGCAATACAGTTCTCTAAGTTATGGAAAAAGAGTAGTATCTAATGGTAAAATACATAGTGCAGTGCATTAAAGGACATAATTCCAGTTTGTTTTCAACTCTGAATTTTCAGGATGATTTAAAACATTTCAATTTTTCCTTCAGTAAATGCATTTTCTAGTTTTGAATGCATTCATTAACCTTTTATCATGTTCTTTAAGTATATAGCAATAATCTTGAATTAAATGAGAGAGAGAATTCAGGATTTGCCAATTTCTTGTTATAGAGTTTAATTAACAATATATATCTTTTTTTTAAATAAAAGCAAAAATCACATGGACTCCAGTGGAAAAATTTGCCTGTGCTCAGAGCTGAATAAAAACATGGTAAAAATTTTGGAATCTGGCTCTGCATTTGGAAAAAAAAAAAA